CAAGCCGGATGGGAAGCCGAAACCGAAGCCTCATACCAAACCGAATGCGCAGGCACGAGACCGCCAGTCCAATGCTAGGCCGAACGGCAAACCGAATACCCAGTCAAGAGACCCTCGCCCCAGACCTCAAGATAAGAAGCAACATACCTCACAGTCAGGCAATAAAAACATCCTACTCGACGAAATAAAGGCTCTTGGGGGCGATGAGGATGATTTTAAACTGGTCGGGGACATAGAGTCGGACGACGAGGCCGTTAACAATCAGACAGGAAGCAAAGATGCAGACAAGCTATTACGCGCTGAGCTTGCAAGCTTCGCTGCCGGCCTTGGTTTTGATCAGGTGCAACAAGACTCTGTCAGTGAAGAGTCCGACGCCGAGGATGATCAAGATGACGAAGATGTACCCGCTGATGACGACGAGGAAGACGTGGAACAAGGCGACGGGGCCGCCGGGGCCGACGACGACGACGACGACGACGAAAATGAGGATAGCCCAACTATAGACCCCAAGAGGAAGACGGTCAGTAAGCCTCTCTGAAAGCCAACCCTTACTTCGCAGATATTGACGCCGATGAAGATCTTTGAACCCCGTCCTGATTGGTATGCCGTCGAGCTCAAAACCCTTCCCAACCCATCCTCAGAAGAAGTGGCACCCTTCATGACGACAATAACGGCCTTGAAGAATTATGCAAAGACCCTTCTCGATGAAGATACCGCCGCGTACAACACCTCATTTGCCGCCTCGTCTTCGCGCAAGTTCATGTCCACCATCATGTCCTCTGGTACCATGTCAGATAAGGTGTCTGCGTTGACCCTTGCCATCCAGGAGTCACCAGTGCACAATATTAAGGCCTTTGAGAACTTGATAGGTTTAGGAGCAAAGCGAAGCCGTGGTCCAGCACTAGCAGCCCTCGCAGCCCTGGTGGATCTCCTTGGACCGGGCATGATTTTGCCATCAGACAGACGATTACGCACCTTTGCGACTCAGCTCGGTCTTATTGGATCTCTACAAAAGCATAACGCTAAGTCTTGGTCCGCAGGACAAGCGCTGCCTGGGAAAATCAGTAAAGCGCACTTATTGTCATGGTATTTTGAAGACTGGTTAAAAGATGCATACTTCAAGATGATCCAGAGTCTCGAGGTATGGTGTGACGACGAAGTTGAGTATGCCAGAACGAAAGCTGTTGACCAAGTTTTTGCTTTGCTTCGGGACAAACCTGAACAAGAATCCAATCTTCTTCGTCTGCTAGCGAATAAGCTCTGCGACCGAGATCGGAAGATTGCGTCAAGAGCATCATATCTCCTGCTTCAACTTCTCACTACGCATCCTCGCATGAAACAAGTAGTTGTGCATTCCATTGAACACGATGTTATCTTCCGGTCCGGACAGAACAACCGCGCCAAGTATTACGCCGTCAATACCCTCAACCAAACTATATTAAGCACTAAAGAGCCTGAACTCGCAGACGCTCTGCTACGCATCTATTTCGGGATGTTCTTGTCGTTACTAAAAAGTGGTGAGCTCGGTCGCCTTAATGGTGCACTCGATGACCGCAAACAGGTGAAGAAAGGAAAGCAGAAAAGGAGAGCAAGGCCACCGAAGGAACCGAAGGAGCCTGATGAGAAAACCAAGGCCGGCGCGGGCGAGACAGAGGCCGCGGAAAAGCTTGTCTCGGCAATCCTGACTGGAGTAAACCGAGCTGTTCCGTTCTCTCAAGCCGACCAATCCACGTACGTATTACGAGGAGTTACTATCACTTCAGCTTGCTAATATTTTTTAGGCTCGAATCACATCTGGATACTCTGTTTCGCATTACTCACTCCTCGAACTTCAACACGAGCATACAGGCTCTCATGTTAATACAACAATTATCAGCAAACAGACAGATTGCTACGGAAAGATATTATCGAACCCTGTACGAGTCGCTGCTAGATCCGCGTCTCATCACCTCGTCAAAACAAGCGTTATATCTGAATCTTTTGTACCGGAGCCTCAAAGCAGATGTCGATGTTCGTCGTGTCAAAGCTTTCGTTAAGCGAATGTTGCAAATTCTAAATTTACATCAACCGTCATTCGTGTGTGGTATTATTTATCTGGCTATCGAATTGTCTGTTGCCTTTCCCGACCTTAAGACGCTTCTCAGCGTGCCGGAAGAGAATGAAATTGAAGAGACAACGTTCCATATGGCTTCAGATGCGTCATTGGACAATGCTGTCGATGGAATGCAAGCACCCAAGATTAAGAACGCCTATGACGGACGAAAACGGGACCCTGAATACAGCAATGCACATCTCAGCTGTCTTTGGGAGTTACTGCCGTTCTTGAAGCATTACCATCCCTCTGTCGATGTCTATGCAAGGAACCTTCTTAACGGAGAGAAGGCGAACCAGAAACCTGAGCTAGCCAACCACACCCTCATCGCATTTTTAGATAAGTTCGTATATAAGAGCGCTAAGGCCGTCGACCAAGCCAAGGGCGCTTCGATTATGCAGCCGATAGCGGCCAGCGGCCAAGGCCACATTCTCTTGTCAAGTAAGTCTTCCGCGAAGGATGCGGATTCGGTGAACTCAGCAGCATTCTGGAACAAGAAGAGTGCGGACGTAGCTGTAGAGGATGCTTTCTTCCATGAGTACTTTACGCAAATGGGTAAGCCAGGTCAGGCTGAGCGTGAACAAAAACGAAAGACGAAGAAGGGCGCCACGGGCGATGGAGAGGAAGAGGATGATGAAGAAGCCAATGAAGATGAGATCTGGGACGCATTAATCAATTCGCGCCCTGAAGTGCAGGAAGACTCAGACGACGGAGCCGATTTTGATGACATGATGAGTCTTGACGACTCAGAGAAGGAGTTTAGAAAGGCTATGGAGGAAGATGACGACGACGACGATGCACTCAACTTGGATGATTCAGACATGGAGCTGAGCGATGAGGAGATGGAAGAAGAGGAAGATGCCGAGGAACCCGGTGATGAAAAGAAGGACGAGAAGCCAGAATCTGAACGCAAGAAGAAGAGGAAGGCATTGAAGGCGCTGCCTCTGTTCGCTTCAGCTGACGACTACGCCGAAATGCTTGCTTAAGATGTAGATGACATGTAAGACATTGTCACGGATAATTGCTGTAAATAAGAGCTAGTTTTACTAGATTTAACGAGGGATACATTGAACACGCAAGATACCTATTAGGTATTGGATTCCTCACCTCGAAACCTTAGTCGTTTTCATTCTTCCAGTTCAACTGACCAAAACCTCGCATGCGTACTACGAACCTGCTGCCCTGCTCGCCTCATGTATCAAACCACTCGAGGGCATCGTCCTTGTTAAAGATCGCGCGGTACCGTTTCCCACCATCGGGCTCCTCACGCTCCTCGGTGTGGATACTATGCAACTTGGCAGGCTCGTCGGAGATGAAAACGCGGACGTGCAGATAGGCTGGTCCGCTGTCCGGCATGGCGGGGACTAGTATAAAAGAAAACTCAGCAGTTAGAAACCACTACTGGAGTATACGTAAAATTTGACCCGTTCTCGGGACTGTTTCGGAGACTATGAGGGCAATAAAACGAAGGAATTAACGACACTGGAAACGGATGCGTACTGTGGATCTTGCCTAAGAGATGAATCCCGTACGCCGACTGCGCGACTCTTACGGACTCGACATCTGCGTTACTGAAGGCCGTGAGATCCCCATCGGAAAGATCCTGTACGGCGGCGAAGTACTCTGGTTCGTGTTCTGGGAGGTTGTCATCGGTCAGGCGGTTTAAAGGCCTAAGGCAAAGGGACTAGGGATGGGTATTAAGCACTTAGATATGTGTGCTTCAGATGAAGAAGCTCCTTCTTTAGCTCCGTCTCTACTTCTGCGAAGGCTTTGAGGGATTCCTCCTTGGGTGGATGGGGAGGCCCGAGGTCCACGGTGTCAACGGTTGCCTATATATATATATATATGGTCAGCTCCCGTGTGCAGTGGGAATGTTCGCTGGGCCATATCACGAGGTTCGTAACATTCGATCCCAGCTGGGGATCGCAACAAGTGTGAGCGCGTGGTCAGCCTGCACACTTACCATGATGCTTTGTCGGGGAGGTAGATTTAGGTATAGTAATCAAATACAAGAGTGGTGGTGAATGTATAGGAAGTGTTCGCGTGCAAATCGATGTGTATATATGTTTGACTAGAAGGTGGCCAGAGTCGTTTCACGGGAGGGCGAAAACATTAGGTATATATTGTACGCTTCACAAGGTGACGCAATATGTGTCACAAGTTCTCCTCAACGGCATGGAGAGCTAATGAGGGGCTCTCGCTACCTACTTAGAGCTTCCTGTCACAAATGAGGGTCAGAGGTTGTCAATTGGGCAAGGGGTATCTGGACTACGACCTATACGGAATAAAATATTTTTTTGTCAGATACTTCTTTCTTGAAAAGCTGTACTACAGATTTTCTTACTAGCTTTGTGATAAACCGGTGAATGCATATTTACCCCAAACGCCTTCTTCAACTTGGAAAAAGCGTGGCGGAACGCAGACGTCACAGGCTCTCCCAATCTAACTAATGGTTCCCGCCCAAGATCCCGGGTGGTTGGTCCCTGCAGATCCGGCTCCAGAATGGCGCCCCATTGGGCAATGATGCAATAGGTACTACCTATGTTCTTGAAGTATAATTGACTTTTCTTGCTCATTTTCTATCTCTCTCAGACAGTACGCTTGTTACTTAGTAAGTTTCCTCTATTGCTAGCACGCTAATGACTTCTTTATGGAAAGGTAATGCCTAAAACTTTGTTTCAAGGCATACATAACCAACTATCTTTCTCGGGCATATGAGTTGCTGCAAACATTTAACATCATTCTTAGATTTTTTGTAGTTGCTGCGCCTCTGCTGTGTCAGTTACAATAACAAACGATTATTGATCGCAAATCTAGGCTATATTTTGGCTCTAGATCCTAATCTATATTATTGCAAAAGGTAAACCTTATTACAAAAGGTAAACCTTATTACAAAAGGTAAACAACTTGGTCCCAGTGAGGCTTGAACTCACGACTTTCGCATTACCAATGTTATAACAGAGTCATAATATTAGTACGACACTCTAACCAACTGAGTTATGGGACCGAGTGAAGGGACTAGACCTGAGCCCGTGTCATTCTGAGGTTGGACTGATGCTGAGTCCTTGACCGTGCCAGTTAGAATATTATACTCCGTACTAGTTCATACTTCAAATCTGTGCGAGTTTTACGGCTCAGCTTGACAGTGGAATTTTGGTAAATACGCTAAACTCAATATGTCTTGTTTTGGAAGGAGTGGTAAAACCTACATGCAGATTGGACCTCGGATCTTAAACCGAAACAGGCCGGCCCAGATCCGACTAAACAGCCGGCCGCTAAAGGCGTCGGTGGGCTGACAACATGTTAGTAACGGCATCCTCAACAACGTCCTTCTATCTACCGCTCAATGTTGACGTTTGCAGTATGGGCAGCATCTAAAACCCCACCTGTCGCGATACTACCGGCTTGATAACTCAATTGCGCACTTAACACGGGAGAGCAGGTTCATTATCGGTGCTCCCTGCCCCGATCGCACCATGTCTGTCGCATTACGAACCTTGCGAGGCCGAACCCTCACTTCGAGGCCGACGCACCTCGGCTTTCGTCCAGAGCCGTTTCGGCGTATTGCTTGGCGCCATGTTAGTTCGTCCGCCGGCCTAGGTAAGTTTAAGCTACGGCCTGGCGAATCGAATCTTCCCCATTCCTTCTATAGACTCTTTCTAACATAGAACTCCTCGCGCTCCCTAGACACCTCTATAAACCGGTCCACTGCTCAGCCCTCTTTTCTTCGCCGTGCTGCCACTGTCTTCGCCCTTGGCTTCGTCTTCACCTCACTCGGCTTCACAATCGCTGTTTCTCCTGCGATTCCCATTGTCAAAGCCCTCATGAACCCGCCCACGGACGATGAGTCGCTGGAGATGTACGTACCGCAGACGGATGAGGAGCGCACGATCGACGACTTCATAAAGAACCATCCAGTAGCCCAAGATTTTCGAAACAGGGAGGGGTTCTCTGAGGCGCGGCCGCACATGAAGATCCCCGAGGGATACCGGAGCCACCACCTGACCGGAGGGGTATTGTCGGGCCCGGGGCGCATTGTGGTGCCTCCGCTCGTCTTCGCCGAGGATGGCGGCAAGTCGATGATTGCCATATCATATGTCGGCAATGAGCTGTGTGGTCACCCGGGCATCGTGCACGGTGGTTTGGTGGCGACGATGCTCGACGAGGGCCTTGCGCGGTGTTGCTTCGCTGCGCTCCCGCATAAGATGGGCATGACTGCCAATCTCAACATCAACTACCGAGCCCCGGCCCAGGCGGACACCTACCTGATCCTACGCGCGACGACCACTAGGGTTGAGGGACGCAAAGCGTGGGTTGAAGGTCGCATCGAGACCCTTGTCGGCGAGGGCGAAACACCTGTAGTACTTGCCGAGGCTACGGCATTATTCATAGCGCCAAAAGAACCTTCGGTTCGTATTACTTCTACAATTTGCAACACTTACACAATAGCTTTGGCGAATATAGTTCTAATTCCTATACAGATAATGGCGAACATATTCCCTACAAACTAGAAAGACCGAAGACGCCGTGGCATAGATTCACCAGATGAGCTGGGATAGAGGTGTGGGTGTATAGAGATACGTTACATAGCATCGGGGAGCGTAATGCTGTTCGTAAAGTTGTTTCCCCCGGGATATTATGTGTACAGACATATGGGAAGCGCATTGAGCTCGGAGTTTGGGGTGGACATTTTAGCGAATATTTGAAAGACTATAGGCGATGAAAAGTAGGTTATACCTAGTTTAGGTATTTGAATATGTACACTAAGAATTGTTCTCATCGAAGAACCAACAGAGTAACGATAGGATTCCATCATGGGGCCGGCGCATCCGGAAAACAGAGTCTCTTGTGTAGATTCAAGACATGCTGTAACTAAACAACCTTAGTAGTCTACGCACACCCGCAGTTCTCGTATCTAGCATGCTTGAATTGCCTACCAAGGCCCGACTTAACCAGAACTGGATGTTGAAGTACATAATAACGTAATGTCCATAGTACCGCGGTGTTCCTCTTACACAACACCGACCCCCAAACCCAACGGAGTTCTATTTAAGGCAGGACCCGGTTCTACAGAGGTCCCACCAGCATTCGAGCCTGGCACATTTTTAATTCATTCTAGTCTAGGATATAATTATACCAACCCCAATACCGCCTACCTTGGTTCTGTTCAAGTATTAGAACATTTCTTGACCAAAAGGCGCAATTTGAACCTCCTCTTGCGCCTTGTAGATTTTTAAACAACAACACGTTAGAACAGTATGGCGACGTAAGTGTTATTTCCTGTTTCCGTCTCCGAGCCTGCGTGGGGGTTTGCTTGGTTGAATCAAGATGGTTTATCAGCATTTGCTTTTGTACCCCTCCCCCGCCATCGGATGCTCGCTAAGTCGGCGCCGACCACCACCGTCGCATCTGAGATCTGAGATCTGAGGTCAAGTGACAGACAGTCGCGACAACCACGACTCCAAGTTGAGGAGGAACATCGGATCAAGGAATGCTGTCTTCGGTGTATCGTGATTCTTTACTTGAGTCGATCGAACCGGCTCTATTCGACGCTCAAGCGACGACGCGCGCAGCCGCACTTAGCTCCCTCTCTCGAGTTTACGTGGCTATACCCGTTTCTTCACAATGCGAGGGCGGCCACATAAATCCGCTACGCCCTGAAGAGGCTAATGCGGTGAAATGAAAAGCACAGAGTGGGCTACATAGGATAATATAGCTAACAAGCGCCTGTCCGCGAAACAACAGAAACATCACCTGGCACCCGTCCCTCTCGCGCGCCGAGCGCAACGGCCTGCGGAAGCAGCAGGGCTTCACGCTGTGGTTCACGGGGCTGTCGGCCTCGGGCAAGTCGACCGTGGCGACGGCCCTGGAGCAGCACCTGTTGCACCTCGGGCTCGCCGCGTACCGCCTCGACGGCGACAACGTCCGCTTCGGCCTCAACAAGGACCTCGGTTTCTCCGACAAGGACCGCACCGAGAACATCCGCCGGATTGGCGAGGTACGTTGTTGAATGAATGCATGAATGAATGAATGAACAACCGAACCTCTAATCTCCTTTCCCTTCTCCCCTTCTTCGTCGTTATGTACCTCCCGTTTCAACAGCGGGGAGTGGGCGGGCCACCACCTCTTTCCAGCGTCGTCTGTTCCGTGTTCTGCCATTTTCCGTCTCGGACTCGTCTCTGGGCATTGTCGCCCTCCTGGGACATGATCACATGAGGCAAGATGAGAAAGAAAGAAGAAAAGTTTCGGGAAAAGGCAAACAGAGTAACAGGGCCACGACACCGAAGCGAGAACATCTCGGGGGAGAGGGACCCAGAGATGCCAAAGACATCCGAAGCAAGAAAAGCAAAAAGAGATTCACTAACATTGCCCTCCTCGTAAATGCAGGTTGCCAAGCTCTTCGCCGACTCCTCGACCATCGCCCTGACGTCCTTCATCTCGCCGTTCAAGGCCGACCGTGAGCTCGCCCGCAGCCTGCACGCCGCCAAGGCCGCCGGGTCAACCGACGAGCCCATCCCCTTCATCGAGGTCTACGTCGAGGTCCCCATCGAGGTGGCCGAGCAGCGCGACCCCAAGGGCCTATACAAGCGGGCGCGCGCCGGCGAGATCAAGGAGTTCACCGGCATCAGCTCGCCCTACGAGGCCCCCGAGAACCCCGAGATCACCATCCGCACGGCCGAGAAGTCCGTCGAGGAGTGCGTCGTCCACATTGTCGCCTGGCTGGAGGCCAAGGGACTGATCCCTGCCTCCAAGTGAGAACACGGCTTCGGTTATACGGATAGATTCCTAGATGTTTTCATGAATAGACTCCATTTTATTAGTTCCGAGAGGATGCTGTCCTAGTCTCTATGATGCTTCAAAGCTGTCTCTACTACTGCATTGATTTGGGATATAACGATGATTCATCTGCTGGTGATGAGCGAGCCTTTTTAGACGAAGAGGGGTATGTGTCTTGCTCGTTGCACTACAATTCGAACTCGTAATAGACGTAAGCCGTGTACTCGTTCCCTTCGCCGTGACCCCCTACGCCTGCCGCTGCCATTTCCGATGTCAAAGCAGCATCATCCTTGGTTATTTTGCCTCGCTTATCTCTGCCAACCGCATTGCCGCCTAAGTATGAGTATGCTGTATCCAAAGCTGTCTTCACCTTTTTAATAAGTTTAGAGTTTGTCTGTCGTGTTTCGATTAGCCTATATTCTACTGCATCCAGACACCGGGTCAGAGAGGGCTTACCTGCACAAGAGCAGACACGAAATCAAGGGGTAGGCCATAACGTAGCACAGACTCGACGAAGACTCGGAGGGCCATGACGTGAACCCAAATCATAACGCTCTCGCTCCAGCCAGTGTGGACCATGCGCAGGGCCTCACCACGGACCTTCTTCTCCTCGCGAGCCACGCGCTCAAGCTCGCGCTTCTCTTCCTCTTTGCCACCCTCAACATGCTTGTACTGGCGCGGCGTCCACTTTTGCTCGCGGCACTTCTGCTGGAACTCGGCCCCGTTTTTCTTGAATGTTGTCACCGCGTACAAGATAAATTCGTCATCGTGAGCAATTTCCTCTGCTGACCGCGGAACTACCCGCTCCGTTAGCGTCTCGTAGCTCTTGATAAAGTCTTTTCGCAGGTTCGTCGGCACTGCGATCAGGTGTGTCTCGAGGTACTCGGAGTCTTGGACGAGGAACTTGGGGTCGACAATGGGTGTAAGTGACTTCGTTGCGAGGTTGCCACTAATTTGTTGTGGCCAAGCAGTTAGTTCACACTAATCACATGAACTTCGGTATTGAACTAGGCAGTCCTACGTTTGCTTTCTCTGTAGGGCCGTAAAGTTTGTCTTTACTTGGTTGTATTGGTTGAGCTTGCCCTTGACGTCGTTGTCTGCCGTGACTAGGTCCTGTTGGCACACGGGCCTCCATTAGTTTCCAGGCCCGTCAACATGGTGTAGGTACGAGGGGAGGGGGCGGGGTCCGAAGATTGGATGGACGGCCAACAGTACCTTTTGTAGGCGGCT